CAAAAGGGATTACTCTTTCTATTAAGATAGATTAGTCATTAAAAATATATTCGATATTTTTAATTGATGTGGAAAACTGAAAGCAGAATTCAATGTTATTGTTTTGCTAAAATTTGGATTAAAAAGAAATAAATTCTTTACTATATTCAAATAGTTTTCTAACTAATTAAAAATGATAATACCGAAAATGACAATTTTAAACACTTTGCTAAATTCCGATTGTTATAGATATTAGGATAGAGTTGCTCCATGCAGAATATGCAGTATTCGGAAGTGGTGTGGAATAAAACGGAGTTTATTCATCTTTATTAAAAAATGATACAGCATATGAAACACCAGAACAATATAATATGGAAATATAAATTGCGAAGTATCTTTTATTTATTTTATATATAATAAAACCATTCACAACAGTTTAAATATATTATATATAATTTGTATATTTGCTACCATCCATTGAAAATTCAAAGAAATCACCTAGATTAGTGTTCAATTTTTAGTTGTTCAAATTAAAGATTAAAATGAACTAATCAAAAAAGAGCAAAATTATTTTTAATTTTATAATTATTTTTATTTTATTACAATAACAATATATGTAATATGGAAACATGTTATATAGCAACACTATAAGGATAGTTTTAAGGATACTTTAAAAGGATACTTTTACAAAATGCTTTAACTATAGAAAAGCTTTGCGAGATACTCACATGATGTTATTTATTGAATTAATTATTACTTATCAATTGAAAAATGCTGTGGATAATTTATCACCTACCTATCCCAAAAATAGTATATATTGAAAAATAGACAAGTTAACAACCAAATAGACAGAATAATAACGCTAAATCGATTAGTTTTATCAAACTGATACAGAATGTAGGCAGTATAAAGTATATAAATATGGTTGACAAATGATAATAATTTTACTTTGATTATATGATTAAATATATAATCATATATTTGCTATATTCGCTATATTGATTATATTAAATATAGCGAATGTTAGGTCTATAAATTCATGATTTTTGATCTTATTTCTTCGTATATGTACGCAAACGTATTGTATGATAAGTAACTTGATCTTTACCCAAAACTTACTCTTCCCACTTAATACAAAAGACGTACCCGCCAATGTGTACAGGAAAACATATATGTAATATCAAATAAATAATATATATCCAATTGTTTATAAACACTAACAATTATTTCTTAAATATGATTATTTTTGCGAAGAACTTAACGTGTGCCTAGAGCTTATTCTAAGCCTACTACAGAAGAACGTCTATAGTGACATTGAAAACGTTTTCTGTATATAAATTAATGATTGATTTTCGATTAATTTTTTAATAAGTTTATAATGAAATAACTATACTTCTATATTTTTCTTATTAATATGGTATAAACCAATTTACAATATTTAATTTTCTCATAAATTTTCAAATGAATTTTTTTAATTAGTGTTTAATGTAGTAATTATAAATGCATACATAAATAATAACTATAACTATATAACAACTAAAACAATAAATATACATATATATATTGTTTTTGCTTTTATACGTTCAAATTTTATTAAATTTCTTTGAATTTACTACTTAAAACATAACTTTAAGAAGTAACCAAGAAGTAACAAATTAAAGAAAAAAAATAAGTTGTATAAAAATAAATATTTTATATAATTATATGTTCTATGTAATATTTTTAGATATTTAAGATAAAAAGTAAAAAAATTTATTAAAATAATTAGAATTTATAGAAATGATATTCGCTTACCAGATTCATTTTTAATATATATAATTTGCAAATATCCAATAAAATTACTCGTTATTTTTTTATTTAGTCCAAAAATGGCTTGAGTATTGCCCTAAAATAAATTATTATATATTATTTAACTTTACGTATTACGAGTATTATTAAAATAACAAATAAATTTTTGAATAGAGATATTTCCGAGTCATAATTATTATCTATTACATAAAATTATTTCGATCGTTCGATTTGAGTTTCCTAATTAACGATGTTGCATGTCATATAGCATAAACTTAAAAACTTCCTAAGTTTTATGTGCTAATTTTAACTTAAAACCAACATAAATTAACGAGTTTTATTATTTTTATGAAGCACTTTTACTTTTTTTTTGTTTGTGTATTTCACGGTAAATTCATTAATAAATTAAATTTAGGAAAATCGTTCATCAATAATTAACGATAAACGTTTTCGCTATTATCGATTTAAGCACAAAAAGTCACAGACTCCGAAACTCCACACAAGATTAAGTTTATGAAGCAAACCTTAAACTCACTTAACGAAACCGTTAATACACTTGAGGCGCCTAAACCGTTTGAATGCTCGCTGCAGACTGAACGTGCGTCCAATGAAGTTGCTACCAAAAATTCTTTGAATCTCTAGTAAGCAAAGCTAAACATTGGATAAGCTACATGAAGATGCCAGCAATAACATCCAAACAGACAAAACAAAACAAGACAACAAAAGCGTAGGAAAACAATACACAACTTCAGTAAACAAATTTTGTATCAGCAACATTGTTTACATGCAAGAATTTGTATGCGAGCGGCGGCGCAACATTTTATGTTGCTAAGCTTGGTTGATAGTGAATGAAGCAATGTTATTTGAGCTACAGGCAAATGTTGCGAATTTTTCTTTTTGAGCTTATTTAGTAATTTTTTATCTTCGTTGCTTTACGTTGTTACGCATGCGTAAATGAAACTAAAATTGCGCATCACTTTCGTTTTTCAAAAATATTATTATGAGCTGCTATTGCTGTTGATATAGCGAATTTTTGTAATTTTTTTTTTATTATTAATATTTATTCAAGGGATCGTTGCTCTTCGTTTGTAGTCGAATTGTCGAACCTTTGGTGTCTACAGGCAAAGTCAAAGTTGCTCGAAATGTTATTAACTGATTACTATTGTTATTGCTATTGTTGTTGGGAGAAAAAAAAACTTTTGTTTATTATTTTCTTCTTGGTAGGTTAAGTGTGAGTCTTTTAATTCAAAGTCATTTGAACTTGGTTTTGGCATAATTTCAAATTGCACACGAAACTTAAGTTTATTGGCAAAAATATTTTTAACAATTATTTATTATTATATGGATACGATTTTTACACGTTTTTTTTATTTTGGTATCATAATCAATTGTAATATTGCTTTTTTTTAATAGAAAAAAATATGAGTTTATTAAAATATAATTGCGCTATAGTGCTCTCATTTTTTTTGATTAGGCTAATATTGTAGATTTATTTTCACATGATATAAAGTTTTTCTGTATTGAAACTTAATGTATAAATATAATAAAATTGTTCCTTTGATGAAAATATTTTGTAGGATAAAATTTTAGAACGAAATTCAACAAAAATTATACAATGAATTCCACAACACTAATCCAGTCAAAGCGTAGAGAAGGGGTTCTGAAGAAACCTCGCAGTTAATAAAGAGTAAAAATCCTCAAATGCACTGACTCAACTAGCCTCAACATAATAATAAATCCAAAATTTTTAGACTAAAATTCTGAGAAGAAATAAACGATTAAAATGGATGTTGCAATATATCAATACTTACTTAATTACTAAGTTGTTCTTTAAAGACATAAGACGTCATTGGCGGAAGGCAGTAGCTTCCGCCAGCCAGCCCAATCAGAAAATTTCTAACGCCGGTTGGTAGTATCGAATGCATTCATATTGTTAATTACCTGATCCTTCTACCAAAGATGTGCATGTTTTCTATAGCATATTCCACTAACGGATATCGAATCATACACCTTTCTAATCGAAATCGTTCCTTCCATTTGCTTAGTATATCATGGTATAAGTCATATAAGTCGCGGTATAGCTCGTCATAGTTCATAGTTTTATTTTATTCGATACTCATACCATAAATCTTTCAAAGAAGTTTTCTTTCGAATACTTTTAACGTCTTCTCATAACTGTTGATTGATATCGACGCTTTTACACTACACAGTTAGGAAGGTATGATCAGAGCGTGATTTTTGTTTATTGAGAGATAGCTTTATTTCTCAATTGCCTACTTAGCCCGAAGTATCAACTACTAACAAAAATAATTATTAGTTTTCTAAAGTTTTCGACAGTCACGTGGGTCCCAAGATACTCAAGTGGGTTAGCGTAAGAACCCACTTCGTTTGATTTTTTAAACTGGAAAGAGCCGTACTGGTGCCATGGGTGATCAGGCTGATAAAATCGAAATCGTCGACATATACAAGCAGCATTAACTTGTGTAAAATATTGTGCAAACATGGTATGTTGGCATACCGAATTGATACAAAGCGGCATAAAGAGTGCTTCTAGTCGAAGAGTCAAAAGTGTGTTGAAATCGACAAATAGATGGCGTGTACCGATTTGTTTTCCTTGGCACTTATCAAAAAAGATTTAAATAGATTTGACAGATATGAAATCACACATATAAAGTCCAATTAGTTGGTTGATTATCGGCATAAATATTTCACATATTACATTTGACATAACTTTATACGCGTTCCTTGAAATACTGATCTTGCAAAGCATACTTAAATTTCAACCATTCATTGGCATCCGTTTTTCGATTATATTTTGCAAAATTAGCTATAGCATCCATTTAGATTGTTTATAGCATCCATACTCAGAAATATATGTATAAATTTCTTAGATCATTTATTAGCAATCAGATCCTCAAAAAGAGAGATATTCAAATTAGAATATTGAAAGTTTATTCTACAATTTATTATTAAATTGTTTACAATTTATTATTAATAATACAATAGGATGGCATTACGGTATTTGGGTGGCTGATTCTAGCAATGTTTTTTTAAACAGCTCAGTTGATAAATTGATATATGTTTTTTACTAGAAAGAAAGTGTATGTATCTTAAGTATCTAAGAGCCTATTTAAGGTTAATAAATAAGATAAAGATAAAGGGCGAAATAAAAAAATTCACCCAAACAAGTGATAAAATGGCTTAGACTAGAAAAGATTGTATTTGACTCGAAATACATGCCGCAATACGTGGCATTTTTCATACAAAGCCCATACAGAATACATATTAAACCATACTAAAGAGATTCGATCAATCTAACTGTGAACATAGTATATATAATAAACAAATAAACCATATATTTAAAACACGTCAAACAAAGATTCATAATTTCCGCAACACATCATTGGCAATATAAAAAAAATGTTATTAATATTATTATTATTAACATTATTATTAATATATTAATAAGCTTAAAAGTTTTATTTACTTTAATAAAAATTATTTATTTTTATTATTTTAATTCCATATTATTTAATAAAATTTAGTAGAAACTTTCTTTAGGTACATAACAAGTTGATGTTTTGTTGCACTTTATTTTTTATTTATTACATATGGCTTGTTTCTTGAATTTTTCACATTACAGCTTGTTACTTAATACTGACAGACCTCATCTTTAGCTATAAAAATCAACAGGTTTAACAGCTTTCGACCACATTTGGGGAATTTCTTTAAATTATGCTGTCCTACGGGTTCAACCCGCAAATGCAATTGCAGATGCATACAATTTTAGTCAATAAGACTATGCAATGCAAGTTAACAACAACAACAACAACAACATCAACAACAACAACAGCAACAATAACAACAACATTAAGTCCGTATTAATCAGCTTAAACCTCTGACACAAGTGCCTCCAAACGCATCTGCTTAAAGCGCAGTCAACCAACCTCACCTTAGCCATGTTTGTACTTTTGTTGAAGATGCACAATTTCGCCAACACTTTATCGCCAATATCAGCTTAGTTTGCTATTGTTTGTATGCATTTTAGAGTTAATATCAATTTATTTATTTATTTTTTTTTAAGTTTTCTATTAACAAAAAAGTTACTTGTTTTCTAAAAAGAAAACAACTGTTGCTAAGATATAGTCCTCAAAAAAAAATGTACCATAATTAGCAGTATTATTATTATAAAAATTTTAAATTAATTTATTAATAATTTTTAACAAAATAAATAAGTGCGAAAATAGTGAAAAATTTATTTTTGACCAAAGAAGAAAATAAGATTATTTTTAATTAATTTTTTTGTATAAAAATGTGATATGATATTAAGGATGCCTTTTCTTCTTCTTCTTCTTCTTCTTGAGTTAGTGCTATTACGCACTTTTACTCTATAATGGCTGGGGGCTTATCTCTACCCCATACTAGGCTTTAACTAGGCTAAAAAAATCATATCATTTATTTGTCTTTAAGTTGATGACGGACCTTAAATCAGCATATCTTCCTGAGAGTCCAGAAGTGAACTTGAGGATTGTTAGAGCGGGGTTAAGTAGCGTATCAACTTTAGTAAATAATTTTAGAGCTCTGTCTCAGATATATTTTTTCACTGAGTCAATCCTAAAATCTCTATGTATGTCTGTTGATCTAATATACATTGTGACCGAAAAGTTTTCGGGAAATTTTAAATAAAACGCAAAATTCTTAACCTTCATCAATATTTATTTTATCTCCTTCAA